TATTTTATATGTAGTTATCCTCTGTCCACTAAAAGGCCTAGAAACAATGACCTACCCAGGAACAAGTATTCTTGGTGCCCAGAGAGTGGTGTTAAAACACTGCTTCTCACTAAAAGAAAAAGAATAAGCTGAATTGAACTATGAGGTTGCAATCACCAAATCCAGCCAGTAGGAAATTAGAGGTCACATGGATGGGTTCTTCAACAGATAAACCTTAAGGAAAGGAAAAGGGTTGCAGGGGGAACCTGAGGTTTAAGAGGCTTAAAAAGACATAAAAAGATGTGCAAGACTAAAGTACAGTGGCTAGGTATGCACACATGGGTGATAAAACCATAAAGAAAGGCAACAGAGCAATTACTACGAAAATCAAGAAAGCAGTGACTTCTGGAGGGGGAGAGAGGCTATGTTTGGCATGGGACATGCCAGCAGCTCGAGGGAGACTGCTAATACTCTGTCTCCTGATCCGTGGGGTAGTCACAAAAAATATTCATCCTATAATAATTAAATTATGTATGCTTTGTATGGACATCTGTGTCTGTGTCTTATTTTACAATATAAAGATAAAAAGAAGATAAAAACAGAATGTGTGCTGTTAAAAAAAAAAGGTGCAGACTAACATTCGCTCACACACACACACACACACAGGAAGTAACAACAGCACTGCATATGATGTATATACGCAAAAATCTGCCCAGATTTATGTCGCAAATAAGTTTTTGTAATAAACTTCTGAAATATCGACTATTTTTTATCTCCAAAGGAGAACTGTTTTTTCCAGTTCCAAGTTTATCCATTTTTAATAGAGAAATAGGCATCAGTTACCTAGTCATAATTGGAAATCAAGTATTAAATAAAATTAACACAATATCTCATAAGTTGGTGCTTTTTCTCTTACTTCAATTACATAAGTTTGATGGGTCAAGAATATAGAAAGATTGTAGAGTCCAGATAATGTTTCCCAAACACTGCATAACATTATCATCAAACAAGAAAAATTAACATCACAAAGATGTGAGCACTCGAAAAGTATCTATACGTATAACACAACCCCAATCATAATATTAGCAGGCTTTCTTCTTAGAGAAGAGGGGGTGGTGACTAGATAGGGGTATTTTAAAGTTCATATGTTTTTTAAAAACCTCACACATGAAAACAGACCCGAGTATTCTTTAAAATGGAACTTTAAAATTCTGTTAAAGGAAACAAAATATGAAAATTTTGCAAAATGGAACTATCCCCATCACAAGGAAAAACACAAATAAGCTCCAAGGGTTAAAAAAACTGTGATCCTGGCACACACTTGAGCAGAGAGATCAATGAAACTAAATGGATACCCCAGAAATAGACCAAAGTATCTACAAGAATGTATATATAATACAAAAGAAATCAAAGGAGAAAAGCTGGGACTACTCAGTAAAATTGGAATAACTAGCCAATGTAACAGAGACCACTAATTTTCCACTAAATATTCCTTCTTGGCTGCTTCTTGGGTGTATGCTGACCTGCAGAGATTGCACTCCCCACTCTCCCTTGCAGCTAGATGTGCCCCCAAGACTAAGTTCCCACCAATGGAAGTAGAAGTGGTGTGTGTGCAACTTCTGATCACCTGCCCTGGACTTTCTCCTTTGTCCTTCCCACTGAGGGAGCCCAGATATGTTGCAAACCATCTATGACCATGCAGATAACTACAGTGACAAGCAAACAGAAGGAATATGAGTCTCAATGCCTAGTGGAAATGGGAGGTTCTGCTGACCTGGTTTGCTCACATGGGGACAGTTAAGTGAGAAAAAAATCAACTTCTATGTTCTTTGAACCACAGCATATCCCTTGGTTACAGCCACTCAGCCTTTTCCTAATTAACAGAGCACCTAGAGAAAAATTAAGTTGGATTCATACCTAACATTCCGGATGGATCAAAGATTTAAACCTAAAAACCAAACCACACGACATACAAGGAACTGTGAGATAAGTTTTTTAGCTTAGAAATGGAAAAGGTCTTTTAACTGTGATACAAAATCCTGAAGCCACAGAAAGTTTATCTATTTAGCTCTACAAATCCTTTTGAATATCTGTTATTGACTGTCTCTTCCACTACAATGTAAGCTCCATGGAACAAGAATTAGGATGGGTTTTCTTCACTGTTATATATACTGCTATCTAGAACAAGTGCCTAATACGTAAGAGGCATTCAGTAAGTATCTGTTGAATGAACTGGTAAATTTAAGTATATAAATTTTAAAATAATCTGTACAGCAAAATAATATTTTTGTACAAATGATAACATACAAATATCACTTATCATATTCAATTTTATTAATGCATAGGAGCCTCCTTTGAACTGATAATAGAAAGATCAATAACCCAATGGGAAAAGAGCCAAAGGACACAAACACAGGGGGAACACAACAGGAAATACAAATGGTCTTTAAAATTATGAAAAGAGGGACGCCTGGGTGGCTCCGCGGTTGAGCGTCTGCCTTCAGCCCAGGGTGTTATCCTGGGTCCAGGATCGAGTACCAAATCGGGCTCCCTGCAAGGAGCCTGCCTCTCTCTCTGACTTTCTCTCTCTCATGAATAAATAAATAAATCTTTAAAATAAAATAAAACTATGAAAAGATTCTCAATGTCAATGAAAATAAAAACTCAAACTAAAGCTACATTAAACCCTCATTTCTCACCTATCGATTTGGCAAAGAAAAACACCTTGACAATCACCCTGTGATCAGCAAGGGTATAAGGAAGCAGCGTTCTCATCCACTGCTGTTGAAATCTAAACTTCACAAACTCAATGAACTGAGCAAGTTGTCAATAAATTTCTACCAAATTTAAAATGTGTGCACCTTTTGATATACAGCAATTCTACTGTTAGAAAAGGATCCTACAAATATGCTCATGAACATGTTTGAAACGCTATCTGTACAAGTTTATATTCCCTAGAGCCTTGTTCATAATAATAAACAATAGACTAGAAGTGATCTAGACCACCACCAACATGGCACTGGGTTAAATAAATTACAGCAAATGTCCACTGTGGGACAATAGGCATCCACTAAAAAAGAATGCAGTATTAATATGGAAGATCTTCCAAGAAATATTTTCTCAGTGAAAAAAGGTACAAAACAGTATATATTGTTATCACCTGGGTTAAAACACACACACCCACACACACACACACGAAACTGCAATAATCTATAGGTTATGTGCTGATATAATATATATGCCCTGAAATCTCTGAAAGAATACACAAAAAATTAGTAACAACAGTTGCCTCTAGGAAAAACAACTGGGCACTTGGGAGATGGGAAGGACTAAAACTTATTTTTTCGCTCTTTCGTAGCTTTTTAATCTTACAAACACTGCTTATATCACCTTCCTAAAAATAAATATTTTATAAAGGAACAACAATACAAATATTCATCCCCAATCCCAGATATCTGAAAACTTCTCTGGCGATTCTCACTGTCAAACACACTAGTGAACCACTGACTGAACAATTTTAACCTTGTTTCATAATTAAGAATTGCAGGGTTAGCAATTAACAAACCCCATCATGAGGTCCCTGGGTGGCGCAGCGGTTTGGCGCCTGCCTTTGGCCCAGGGCGCGATCCTAGAGACCCGGGATCGAATCCCACGTCGGGCTCCCAGTGCATGGAGCCTGCTTCTCCCTCTGCCTGTGTCTCTGCCTCTCTCTCTCTCTGTATGACTATCATAAATAAATTTTAAAAAATCATAAAAAAAAAACAAACCCCATCATCTCCTCCTCCATCAAACAAATACACATGCAAAAAAAGTCAGTCTCTTAATTCCATCCCTGTTATTCATTACTTCCTCTTAAAGCTAATTCAACCTCATGCCACCTTAAATGGGCATGAAAATCTCTCAAAATTCTCCAGGGATGGTAAGCCAGAACCAACAACTATACTAATATATTAACACAGCCTAGTGCCAAAGAAGTTCCTTCCAGACACCCAGAAGATGAAAATTTGACATAACTGACACCTCGGCAAGAGCCCAAAGCTGTGCATCATCTGCCTTGGAAATAGAAACTCACATCATTAAACTAAAAAGTTCCAACGTCAACAGTCGTGGCTTTTGTTTTCTCCCTAATGGGAAAGGTCTCCCCCCTTGCATCCCCCTTTAAATTATAGGCTAACCCCTCACTTGAGGACTGGTTATTATGTTACAGCCTTATAAGGAACACTAAGCAGTCATTATTCAGACTGAGATTCTGATTAAAAGGGAAAATGTCCGCAACTTATCAAATGGAAGGAAAAAGTAAGCTGTAAAACAAAATGTGTACTCATGGTCTTCAATTTTTAAACATAACGAATATATATATTTTATTTGCAATACGGTAAGATTTGTAGGTGGAAAGTATGTGTTCCAAATTATTAGTTGTGTGTCAAAGACCAAAGGCAGGGAGGAAATACCGTTTATGTCTGTACTTTATACTGTTTTGTACTATTTGAAATTAAATAATCAAGGGGCACCTGGGTGGCTCAGCCGGTTAACCCCTATAGCCTGGGGTTGTGATCTCAGGGTCCTGCCATCAAGCCTGCTTCACACTCAGTCTGGACTCTGCTTCTCTCCCTCTGCCCCTGCCCCTGCTCCAGCTTGTTCGCTCTCTCCAGCTCGTTCTCTCTCTTTCAGAAATAAATAAAATCTTTGAAGGAAAAAAGAAAAAAAGAAAAGTGGCCTTATAGGGGGGAAAAGAATAGCAAAAGTATTTTACACTTAGGGAAATATTGATAGTATTTGAATAAACTGGTCAATAGTAAAGAATAACTAAGCAGCTCCACCCAAAAAAAAAAAAAAAAGAGAGAGAGTGAGTGAAAGAAGGGGAGGGGGAGAGAGAGAGAGAGGGAGGGAGAGAGAGAGGGAGAGAGAGAAGCCCACCTTCAAGGCAATGCAAGACCTAAAAACACTCAGGCCAGGGTCCTACCCTTCTCGTACTGGATTCGTATAAACCAACAAAATCATCACTGTGGCTAAGAATTTACCGTGTAGATTTGATCTCTGCCAAAGAGCATTAAAAGAGGTGATTTGTTGCAACGACTCTGGGGCCGCAGTGGCAGCTGCTCGGCGCGGGCAGGCTGACTCAGCTCCCTTGGGCCTGGCGCCGCGTCATGCCTTCCCACGGCGGGTCCCGGCTCCCGCAGGCCGAGGTCACGGGTCCCAGGCACAGAGAAGGGGGGCTGGGAGGCTGGCAGGCACTCCGGGAGCCAGGAGAAGCTCTCCAGCAGTTCTGCTCGCAGGCGGCTCAGGGCTGCAGAGAGGAAGAAGGAGGAAAACCAGCTAAGAAGAAAATTCTGCAGGTGTGAATGGGCTGGAGCCACTGGACAAGCCTTTCAACTGAGGCCACAAAACTGAGGCCAATCTGCCACTGAAGCAAATATGGAAGGGTTGACAATGACATGTGGTACATTGAGGTCACAGATCCATGCAGGCCTTCAAATACTTTTCTATGGGGCACCTGGGTGGCTCAGCAGTTGAGTGCCTGCCTTTGGCCCAGGGCAGGATCCTGGAGTCCCAGGATCGAGTCCCACATGGGGCTCCCCGCAGGGAGCCTGCTTCTCCCTCTGCCTGTGTCTCTGCCTCTCTGTGTGTGTCTCTCATGAATAAATAAATAAATAAAATCCTAAAATATTTTCTTTTTCTAAATGACACACAACTCAGTAAGCTCTGCAGTTGGTAAATTTCAAAAGCAAGTTCCTTCAAAGCTATATACCACGGACTCCAGCCAATTACAAAAACAACCCCAAAACAGGCTTTGCATATATTAATTATATATACTTGGTTAAAAACAGAATAGTCCAACAGTACACAAGTATAGAATGAAAGTCTCTCTCCAGAACCCCCCCACACCCCTCCTCCTCCTAGAGACAACCCCTTGTACCAGAGGAACCAGTTTCTTGTGTATCCCACCCAGAAATGATCTGGTTTAGGTCCACTTTCAACCATCATTCTCAGTTGTAGATAGAACTAGTTCAAAGGCTCATAAAACAATGGTGGGGAAGGAGCACCAAGCGGAAGGGAAGGGGCCCTAGATAACTAACAAAAAAGCAAAAAGCCACCCCAGCTCCCCTTTCCTTTAGGAAGACTTTAAAAACACCGACATTTGCCAAAGGAAGAGGAAATTTTTATTAGAATCAAACTTTTCCACTCAAATAAGTCAACGAAACACTGAAGAACTTACTCCGTTCAAAAAGCAGCACATTTTTTTTAACCTCGAGGAACATTTTGCCAAGAAAACGTTCATGTAAATACATTTAAGCAGAAAACAAACCCAACAACAACATCCCTAAATAATTATTTGGAAGAAAAATCACAACCCTGACATTCAAGGGAAATGCTTCATAAATAATATTAAACCTTTCCTTGCTTCAGTTTAAATGAAGGCTCGTAATCAATTTGAAAAGACAGTCTAGACATGTAAAAGGCACACTAAAAATAAGACAATAATATCCCTATCCCTCCTCCCACAAAAAAGGTCAACCAGAAATTTCACATTTGCAGCAATTGTTTAGTGAAATTAGAGAGGAATAATCCACTTCTAGAGTGGACATCCTTAAAAACAAACTCATTAACTAAGCAGCATCTACGACCTTGAGTTTCAGAATGGACTGCTGGAATCCTGGTATTCTCTGAGATGCTGGGGCCAGACCCACTGGGTGGCTTCACACCGAAGCTGCCTTCCCCTTTGCCACAAACCATGTTTTATCAGGGGACCACTGTGAAGCTGTCCTGCCTCGGGCTTACCGTGTCTTTAAGTTACAGGTACTGGTTGGGAGGGAGCTTTAGATCGTGTGGAAATAAGGAAACACTGGTGCATATTTTTCTGATTCTTTCAAAAAAAAGAATCATCAGAAAAACTGTCAGAGTTTGACTACTTAATTACAAAGGTGCTTGTATTTCCTTTCCAACTTCCAGCCCTACCTATTACCTTCACTGCATGGAATTCCTTCAACCCATGCTCTCCTGCCTCTCTGTTTAGCCTTCTCTCTAACGATCCTTATATTTTCCAGATCTTTCCATTCTGACTCCTCTGGTATTTATATTCTATATGACTCAACCTGGCACTTAATCCTCTGTCTTGAACTAGACAAAATTGGTTTGTCTCAAAACCAATTTAAAACTAGGAAAGAATCACATACTATCCTTCTGCTGTATCATTTCTTCCCAGTACCTAACATATAGCTGGTGCTCTCGAGTTACTGGATAAAACTCAAGTCTTCAAATTAGACATAATTTAATATTTGTTTTGGAATTCATGAAGTTCTCAAATAACCCATGGATTGAAGTCAAAACTGTGGTGTACTACGAGGAAGAACAGGTTGGCAAAAAAGGAGCCAAAGTGGAAAGCGAATTCCAGATACTTAACTCTTCAAATGTTCTACACAGGACACCCATCTCCCCACAAATACACTTCATGCCAATAGCCAAGCTTGGCAGATCCTGAAAGGTAGTGGAAAGCGGTTATGTTCAAAACCCCAAGAATGGTTAAAAAAATAAAAAAACAAACCAAAAGAGACATGTGCCAATTAAAATCAGTGCTGTAAAATAAAAATCTATGTAGCAAACTCCAGCATTTAGTCACAAAACTTTCATTGAGCTGAGTTTTTTTTCTAAAATCTTAGCTGACTCCTTTGTTTGGCTTATTGTATTGAGGTTTGATTATTGGCAGCAAATCACACTGTACAAAAATCTGACCCTTCATAAAGGCTAGAGGCACATTCCTCTGAAGTGGTAGAGAGTAAGGGTAAGGAAGAGGGAAAAAGAGGGAAAAAAAATAGTTCTTACTCCAAGTGTACGTTTAACATGGCAGTATGTTTTTCTTTAATCCAATTTAAAAGAACGTGCATAGTTTCTTAAAAGTTATTGTAATATGATGGGACCTAAGTACCAGGCAAGCATAAAAGGTACTTAAAATCAAACAAGTTCTTGGCAGTCAACATAGCAGCTAAGCAACAGGAAGAAAAAAAAATTCAGGGCAAGTTTTCGCAACTATTTAATTATAACTGCATCCTTGGCCTCTAGAAATTGTAGCTTCCAACTACTGCAAACTTCATGACAGCACCCTTTGTATGGAGACGGATGGATGTTCATTACACTTATTGTAGCCATCATTTTACAAGATACACAAATATGGAATCATTGTGTTGTATACCTGAAACTAAGATACCGTTATATGCCAATTATCTTCAATTTAAAGAAAAAAAAAACCAAACCTCACCCCATATCTTCCCTGTTTATCCACCCAGCCGCATAACCCAAATACACCATGGTGAATCTTGCTGTAAAATTACTGCAATTACTTTAAGAAGCAGCATATGGTTGCAAGAACATGGACTTAGGAAAGAGCCAAACCCAGTTTTTCAACCTACTTAATATGATCTTCCACATATCACTGAACCTCTCTGTGAGTTTGTTTCCTTTCCCATGAATTAGGGTATAAGTGCCTTCCACCTTTGACGGTTACTAACAATGCCAGCTATCATTCAGTGAGCCTTTAGTTCCTGAACTGTGCTAACCACAAACTTGCATCATTTGTTTCAATCCTAAGAGCACAAAAATTGAGAGGAAGGTACAATTATTCCCATTTGATAGATAAGAAAACAATGTTAGAGAGGTGACGTAACACTGCCCAAGATCACACTTTTTTAATAAGCGGAAAAAACAAGAATCAATTCAAGTTTTGCTGACTCCAAAATCTATGTTCTTAATTGCCAATAAGTAAAATTGCATCTTGACAGTTTGTAAGAACTGAACTCAACGCTCATAGTAAATATTCTTAGTTCCCTTTCCTGTTTTCTACTTCTCAGAATAATAGGAGTGCAAAAGCACTGTGGGAGGAAAAGCATAAAGCACGCCAATCCCAAACAATAACACAAATCATCTACAAATCACACTACAAATGTCCTCTTGTTCTGGCTCTAAAATAATATTCGCTATGACAAGCAAATAAATGCCGAGTATCCTTGAAGAATAACCTATTCCAGACACTCGAATATGTGAGAAAGGCAGGTATGATAGCTCAGTAATTCTGGAGAAAGGCAATGGGGATATCAGCTGGTTCCCAAGATCCCCAATCTCCCAGTGGAACAAAACTAGGCCACACGCCCCAGACAACTGATAAACTCGGGGGGACACCGTGGAGTAGAAAAAACAGGGAAAGCCATACAAAGCTGAGAAAAAGATATATGGTGACAAAACCAAGAATTAGGGAGGAGCATGGAGATACAGCAGATCCCCTTCTCTGGGGGGTTTCCAAGTTCTCAAACAGATATTAATCTTTGGGATTTAGGGATGAGAGATGTGAATTTCCAGGAATTTCTCCAGAATTCTCCCAATTATAGCTATTCTTAAAATACTTCCAAATATTCTTTACTCCCTCTTATGAGGATATCTTTTTTAAAATGTCACATAAGCAAGAAATAATGGTATTTACAAAGAATTGTAGCCTATAACAAATACTCAAACGCTAGAAAATGCCAGTGAACATTATTGGGTAGTATGCCAAGAGCTGGCCAAATCCAGCCCGCAGTCTGTTTTGGTAAATAAATGTTTTATTGGAACACAGCCCCACTTGTTCATTTTACGTATAGTCCATGGCTGCTTTCACGCTAAAACAGCAGAGCTGATGGCTCTGTCAGAGTCCATATGCCTTGCAAAGCCTAAAATATTTACTATCTGGCCCTTCAGAGAAAAAGTTCGTTGACCCTTGCAATAACTTGCATTTGAATCTTATGAGGAGGGTTTTAACAGCACTGCATAAAATCACATGTTGAAATTGCCATTTTATAGACTTCTCCTGCTTCAGAAACGTATTTCTTGGAATACCACGTGCAGGCTTTGTATACAATATGCTATGTATATAAACTTATTTTATTTGCAAGGATGACTCACCAGTAGCAGCAGACAGGGCCACAAACACATATTTATAACATAGCAACAGCTACACGCAATCACAACCAATTCTTTCCTCTGTACGCCGACCCAGTCCTGGCTCTGGGAAATGTCAGTCTTAGCCTCCACTCCACAGGCTAGGGTGCAACTTGACATCCGCGGATTCCTTCGATCTACCCAGTGTTCATGGTTTCATTCTCACAGGAGAAGTCCACACATTTTCCCATTTACCTGATTTCTTAACCGATTGCTTTGGGGATCTGGAAAGACACAAATTTCCCAAGAAATCCTGGGCAGGAACCCTGCCATGGAAATAACTATTCTCTTCAAGTGTATAGACAGACACCGAGTAGAGATAACCCCCCTGGCCTTGTAAGGAACAGAAGAAAAAGAGTTGAGGACAGGAGGCAGAAAGTGGAAAAACAAAGTCTTCAGGATGTTTTCAGGCAAAGATTAAGGTCTGTCTCAAAGTCTGGAGAGAAAAGCAACCAAAGTGGAGATAAGATGAGGATGAAAATTCCTAATGCTATGTCCTCAGTGATAGGTTTAAGCCCCAACTATCAAAGCACCTTTCTCCTTCCAGAATTTAAGTGCTAATTTGGCTGAGATGAGAGATATTCACTGTGAATTATGACAGGAGTGAGTGTAATGAAGCACCAAACTATTCCTGAATATAACCTGCTTATAGTTTATAGTCTCAAACACCCTCATCTGAAGTGCCTGGATGGCCCACCAAAATCCCATTTATCCATCTGTCCAGCAAAAGATTCATTTATTTGTGCCACGAATACAAAGCATAAGGACCAAGGGTAAAATGCAAGGGAACAAAAGCCGTGGTATGCAGCAGCACCGAAAGGGTTCCAGGTTTAAATCAAAGGGTCCTGGGTCGAATCCCAGCCCTGCCAATCATGTAATCTTGGGCCAAGTGTCTGAGCCTCAGTCTCTCACGGGCAAAATGGCCATCATGACTTCCTTGCAGAGTTGCCACATGTGAAGTCCACAGCATATGGTGGGTGCTAATAAATGGTAGCTATTATCATAAACACAATATTAATGGAGCAGGTATAAGAAGAGGAGACAGTGATAAAGACAGAGCATCACATGGGTTGACATTATGTCGAGTCATTTGAAAATGTTATAATTTGACCATTTTGACTCATAAAAATAGCAATTTTTTTAAATAAATATTATAAAGGGCTCTGTAAGGAAGCCTGAAAGGAGACAGCATGAAAGACTAATACCCCATCCTCATTCCCCAACTGGTGGCAGCTTAGAAGAAATCCAGACACCAGATGGGAAGGCTGCAGACTAAAATAGAATACCCCTTAGTCAACTCCTCACTAGAGAGGAGGTGTGACTTCAGGGAAGAGAAGAGTCAACAAAAGACAGACAAACACACACACCTCACTCCTAGGTAGCCCACGTAACTCTCTGCTTCTCCCTTTTCTTCGTCGTTCCTGCCCTGTCCTTTCCTTTCATTACTGCTGTCCCGAGGCAAAGCCCAGTGGTGTCTTATTAACTAGTTTGGGAAGGAAATGGCATTTCTGCTCAGCTGATGTTACCAATTACACAGCAAGCCTTTGGTAGGCCTTGTAGGGCAGCGGGTAGCTCAATAAAGAAATCCAATGGATTTGGGGTGCCTGGCTGGCTCAGTCAGTTAAATAGCCGACTCCTGATTTCAGCTCAGGTCTTGATCTCACAGTTGAGAGATTGAGCCCGTGCTGGATGTGGAGCCTACTTAAAAAGAAAAAAAAAAAAGAAAAGAAATCCAATGGATCTGTTGCATTTTCCCTGTTATTTTTAATATCTTCCCTAATACCACAGGTGTTAATTTTTTCAAGTCCTGTTAACCCTCACCCAGCTAATGAGTCTGTGGTTGATCAATGTCATCATGTCAGTTCCTGGATGAGATCCGAGTTTCAAGCCACCCCCCTAGCCCAAACCCAAGTAGCTCTATTCCAGCTATCTCTAAATCTCCAAAGGGTTCTAGGTGAGAAATCAGAACACCTAGTGTACAGAGGGATGAAAACAGAAAGAGGTAAGAATGGAGGAACATGTCATTTCTTCCACCCTCCCAACCCATGCTCTCAAAACAGAATTAGACTTCCCAGGTAATTAGATTGCCTTTCTCAGTCTGTTGGGTCAGCTTTCATGAAGGTAAATCCAATTCCTGCAGGACATCGGCAATCCCCATCACCATGTTTCATCTGTTGTCTCAAAGCAATGTGGCAATCCTTGATGATTACCTTCACACAGAAAACTATGGAGGCTTTCATCAGCTGATGATCTCAAAGCACTTTTTACAAGAGTTCGAGTTCGCAGCGATGCCTCCCACGTGGGCCAGAACCAGACTTTCTGGTTTTCTAATGGGGTGTCTGGCATTTTGTTTCTCCTGAACTTCACTCTGGAGTTCCTGTGTTATATGCTCACTAGATTGACATTAGCAAAGCTTCAACAGGGAAGCTTCTTGGAAGCAGGGACTCTGTGTGTCCAATATCCTACTGGACCTCCACAACCTGGTCTAGCATCACACCAGACCGATTTAAATGTTTGTGGAATGAATGAAGCTTAAAACTAGAAAACATCTAAAGCATTGATAATTTCAAGCTCATAAACTTACTAAAGAAAACTTCTCTCTCACTAAATGGCTAAGTGTCTACCCTAGACTTAAATTTAAAACAGTACAAAATGCGCTAAATACTCTTGAATGGGACAGACCAACACACACACACAAAATAAACATATAAAATATTGTAGAAAAACTACTGTTTCATAAAAGCAGTCTTAACTTTAGAATGGTAGTAAGTTTTCTTGATACATTTATTAACTAAACAGCTCCAAACTTAAGGTTAAGTTTTTCAAAATTGTATCTACAGAAATTTCCAGAAACACTGATAGGGCTACTACAAAACCGGGGTACCAAAATAAATGAAGAGAGAACTAAAGGTTTTAAAAACCATTCTTCCAAAACCCTCTTGAAAATATTTATGTCAACTACCAACCTAAATAAAATTTTTACCAGATCACTCTCCCTAATTAAGGTTTACCAAGAATAAACGGAATAAAAAGCAACCAACATTCTTTGTCTGTTTGGCTTAATAGATTATTTGCCCATAGGCATACTGGCGTTTCTGAAGCTAGGAGGGGGAAACTGTTTGCCCCGTGCGCAGAGAGAACAAAGTAACAAAAAAAAAAAGACCCAGTAAAGTTTAAAAAAATTAAAAGTGAACATTTTTATGGCTTTCTTTTTTTGTTGTGACTGTGTGCATATGTGTACATATACCACATATTCATAATTACGTCAGGCGAGCTATGCACTTTATAAGCAGTTGCCAGTCCTATAATGAGTCATCTGAAAAACTAACCTGCAACTTCTTAAAGAGAAACACAGCCTCTTAGTTATCTTTTAGTTTTATAATAATTGGGAACATCCCTTCCATACTAGTCAACAAATACTTGCTGACTGATGAACAGTGAGATTAATTTGAAGATGAAAATCAAGAATCCAGGTACCTCGGTCTACCAGAGACTGAGCAGCCTTGATTATACTTCTTCCAACTCTGTTCCATCATGCTGATGGGATTATTGCAGTCATCAATGTATGGTGGAGAAAACACTGAAGTGAGGAGCTAGATATCCCTGTGCCACAGCTGTGTGGCACTGGCAAGTCACTTATCCTCTCTAGCATCCATTCTCCCTAATAATACATTGAGAGTGGTGGCCCAAGTTGCTATGTTTCCCTCCAGCTCAAAAATTCTATTTAGATATTTCTTTTACAATCGCTAGCAGGATTCCTCAAGAATTATGCCAAAGAGAAAGGCTATGTCTTTAATTAAAAATGGTTTTCCGGGATCCCTGGGTGGCGCAGCGGTTTGGCGCCTGCCTTTGGCCCAGGGCGCGATCCTGGAGACCCGGGATTGAATCCCACGTCGGGCTCCCGGTGCATGGAGCCTGCTTATCCCTCTGCCTGTGTCTCTGCCTCTCTCTCTCTCTCTCTCTCTATCATAAATAAATAAAAATTTAAAAAAAAAATGGTTTTCCAATCTACCCCTGTACTGAGATGGCACACAACCCACTCATTAAAAAAAAAAAAAAAGTAAAAATAACATTTTTCATTTAATTTAGCCAATTGGTTCTTAACTCATACACGTTTGCTTTTAATTTAATTTGCTTACCAATAATATGTTTGCCAACTGAAGGATAATTGAGTAAGAAAATGCACAAAAAGAAGTAGAACAGTAGGGGGGTATCTATCAAGAAGTTTCTCAAGAGAGAGAAGAGTTTCTCAAGAGGCATGAGAGTATTCCCTGGGCAAGGAATCGAGATAAACAAAACTAAAGTCATCATGTCCACTTCACCCACCACTCCAAACCTGCCAGTCTTCCTTTATGTCGTATCTCATGCAATGGAACCACCAATGAACCCTGATGACACAGCTGGAAACTGAGGGGTTCACCTTAAAAACCCCACCACTGCCTTTGTCTCAGCTCCAATGATCTCCAACCAGCAATATTTCCAACCGCTTCTTTGGTGATCTCCTCTGGGTACCTGCCAACAGTTCAATCAACACCACTGAGCTCTTTCCTCTGCTTAACCCATCAGTGGCTCTCCTAAGCATGAGCAGATTCTTGATTTCCATGACCTGGCCTGTGTCCTCTCCAACCTCATTCAGTCATCACCCTACAAGTACTCTGACCCTAACTGTGCCATATAGCATCCTGAAGACACCACAATCTTATTCACCTCCTGCATTTACCCTTGTCCCCATGAAACGTCTTTTTTCCATCTGTCACATCCCTATGGTTCAGGATCAGGTCACCAATCATCCCTGATAGAAGCCTTCCCTGAAGCCCCCATGCCTACACCCTGTCTGGAGTAAATGCACCATCTGTTGTTCCAAAACTTAATTACCATGGCACCTAAAAAGTACATTTTTTTTTTATTATTTCAATGCTT